TAGAATGTTGTACAACCAGAATCATCAAGTACATTGTCTCTTCCATAAGTTAAAATGTTGTACAACCAGGATCATCAAGTAAATTGTCTCTTCCATAAGTTAGGATGTTGTACAACCAAGATCATGAAGTAACTTGTCTTTTCCAGAGGTTAGAATGTTGTACAACCAGACTCATCAAGTACATTGTCTCTTCCATAAGATGTTGTACAACCAGGATCATCATGTACATTGTCTCTTCCAGAGGCTATGTTGGTAACAACCACGATCATCAGGTATACTGTCTCTTCCATAAGTTAGGATGTTGTACAACCAAGATCATGAAGTATATTGTCTCTTCCATAAGTTAGGATGGTATACAACCAGGATCACCAAGTACATTGTCTCTTCCACAGGTTAGGATGGTACACAACCAGAATTATCGGGTTACTATGGTAAAGTCATTATTAACAAGTACACAATCTTTTCCACGGGTTATCATGGTAAAAGCAGGATAATGAAGTGCAGGATAAGATAATACAACACCATTGTCATCATTAACACAATATATTCCACCCAAAATGACAAAACAAACAATACCCTGAATGACAACACAATATTTGCTTTCTAACACATATGGTGGTAAATTACTAACGCCAACAGAAGACACATTGTTTCCACTACCCTTCCACTATTCAATTGTCTCTTCAGCTAGGTCTATTTTTATCAATAATCCAGTTGTTCCTGTTATGCAAGGTTTAAAGGTTTCGTTTATTACATAATTACAATCACTATTACCCATAGTACCGTTTCTTCCTGTTGCACAATACCTTATCAACATTTACGAGGAGTGCAAGGATCAAACCATGTTGTCAAGCGGGTCCCTTACCGTCAGTCCCCCCGAATACGATTCATCAGGTACGGAGGTCGAGTAGTCCGTATTGGCATTGAAAGTCGATAGCATTGGTGGACTCCTGGTGGGGTCAGGGGGTACAATGTAGGCCAGTTCTGTACCTGAACTGGCTGCTGTCCTACTGGGTACTGGAGGTGGAACCCTACTGTAGTTCACCTGAAAAACAGAAGATCAACAAGGGTGTTAAAAACATGTCATTTAGTGCAATTTAGTTATGATTTGGTTCTACAGACGTGTTTCTAGCATTACACCAATAACACAATTAAAACAGGGGCGATACTAATAAAAAGTTCAATGTTATACATTTAGAACATTCAGTAAATCAACCTATTATCTATAATGAGGTGTGTTAAATCACTAACAAGTACAAGAAAAGTTCACATTATTACACTTCTAATATTCATGTGTAATAAAGTTCCCAAAGTTTTAAGGCAGCACATCAGATGTCAGTGCTCTGTTACTAACACTTGCGAACATGTGTTGTTTGATATCCAGCTGGTGAGATAGAGCACTCACTCCTTACCCCACTGCGGAGTTGACGAAAAGGGGGATTAAAGGGATAATACGAACATACCTTGGTGATATTGATACGAATTTATCTGGATGTTAGTGATATGAACATATCTTGATGTCAGTAATATCAACATATATTGGTGTTAGTAATACGAAAATATATTGATGTCAGTAATACGAACATATCTTAATGTCAGTTATACGAACATATCTTGATGCTAATGATATGAAAAATCTTGATGTCAGTAATATCAACATATCTTGATGTTAGTGATACGAACATATCTAGATGTCAGTAATACGAACATATCTTGATGTTAGTGATATGAAAATATCTTGATGTCAGTAATACGAACATATCTTGATGTTAGTGATACGAAAATATCTTGATGTCAGTAATACGAACATATCTTGATGTTAGTAATACGAAAATATATCGATGTCAGTAATACGAACATATCTTAATGTCAGTTATACGAACATATATTGATGCTAATGATATGAAAATATCTTGATGTCAGTAATATCAACATATCTTGGTGTTAGTAATACGAAAATATATTGATGTTAGTAATACGTACATATCTTAATGTCAGTGATACGAACATATCTAGATGTCAGTAATACGAACATATCTTGATGTCAGTAACACGAACATATCTTGATGTTAGTAATACGAACATATCTTGATGTCAGTTATACGGACATATCTTGGTATTAGTTATATGAACATATCTTGATGTCAGTTATACGAACATATTTTAGTGTTAGTAATATGAACATATCTTGGTATTAGTGATACGAACATATTTTGGTGTTAGTAATACGAACATATTTTAGTGTTAGTAATATGAACATATCTTGACGTTAGTAAAACGACTATAAACCGAATGTGGTGGTTTGTCTTACCGGTATCATTTCACCGATACTTTTGTTATATGCATTTCGTCGTAGTTCATTGCTGGGGAAAGCTTCATCGATTTGGTAGATGTTCCTGGGGGATTCTCTGTCGCCTAGCCGGTGGTGATTACCTAGATACCCGTTTCTTTTCTGGAAATGACCACGTGACAGGTGAGGTCTCCCATCTAACGCTGAATGTCCAGGCTCTACTATTAAAGAAATAAACGTGAAAAAATTTATCGCAAAAAACAAAACATACTTTTGAAAGAAATTTTTAGCACCCAAAATCGGAAATTATTTTCGATAGTTTCATGTGTCTCTACCTAGTTTGAAGTTTGGTTTAATTTTTACGATAATTTAACTAAAACACACGGTATTATATATTAAGAGGGAAAAAAAACACACGAAGTTTTTGACATTATGAAAGATAAAAACGTTATTAGTTATTTCAGCCGAAAATTTTGGTAACGCAGTTACCATCATTAGGGCTTATAACTATAGCAGTAGTTTGGCATATATTAAACTCCATTAGAACTGTCTCATAAAGAGTTGATCATTCATTGTGCCAAAAATAACAAAAAAAAAACGTTGTTTTTTTTACTCTTGATATAGTAGCACAATGGTATTATATCAGTATTATAGAGTTTACACTTTGTGAGTAAGAAAGACAGTTACATCGTCCAATCAAAGTAGGAAAGCAGGAATAATTCATACAGTATTCCCACTTAATCCCCACAACTCTATACTGATTCAGTACTCCAATTCTTAACATTATTTAAACGGATACATACTACAACTGGAAACTGACTTAATACTCCAATTTTTGACAATTTATAAACTGATAAACACCACAACTGTATACTGATTCAGTACTCCAATTCTTAACATTATTTAAACGGATACACACTTCAACTGGAAACTGACTTAATACTCCAATTTTTGACAATGTATAAACGGATAAACACCACAACTGTATACCGATTCAGTACTCCAATTTTTAGAAGTGTTTAAACAGATAAACAATAAACTGAAAACTGATCTATTACTCGAATTCTGAACTAGTAGTTAAACAGAGAAACAACTAAAACTGACACAATACTATAATACATGACCAGTTTTTAAACAGTTCATCTCTTAAAATTGACGCAATGCTATGTAATATAAAGCTTGTCTTACCAAATTCATTTCATAATGACGTTTCTTACCATCTTCCATATAATTAGACTGTTCGGGTAAAGCGTTATCTTGGTACTCTTGATCGAGTTCTTCGTCTATCAAATAAGTGGCCAATGTTGGTTTATGAGGTTCCTCCTGTTTAAAATAATACGATTATTGTAATGACATCTTTACTGGCATAAACAAGTCTACTCTACACCATAATTAGTGACTAATCAGTATAAAAACATCATCTTGTTCACACTTCAACTACTAAGCTAATGTTGTAACAGAAGATCTACTACTAGATATCTGTATTATTAAAAGGAAACATCAATTAATCCTAGAATTTATTCACACATCAGCTACTAAGCTAATGTTGTAACAGAAGATCTACTACTAGATATCTGTATTATTAAAAGGAAACATCAGTTGATCCTAGAATTTATTCACACATCAGCTACTAAGCTAATGTTGTAACAGAAGATCTACTACTAGATATTTATATTCTTAAAAGGAAACATTAGTTGATCCTAGAATTTATTCACACTTCAACTACTAAGCTAATGTTGTAACAATGTTTAATTACTGAATATGGATCTTTCTGTTTCATATCTACTCACTGTTCTCAGTATTTACTATAATTCACGGTAACGTTGTCTTACCGAATACTGGCCGTCTGAGTAGGGTTCACTCTTCTCTGACACTGAGCTGGTTGTTTCTCCATTATTACTACTGGGGGCGTACATCTCGATTGTAGCGGTTTTACTGCTGGACTTCTCACTCCCTGATAAAAAACAGGTTTCACCATGAGAAGATAATTGATAACACAAAGAAATGTAGTAATTGAGTTATGGTTAGATTATTATTAAAATAAATAACGAAAAACTAATGTTTATAGACAGTTATACCAAACTTCAGGCGAAACGGTTTGAAAATTGATAACATACACACCGACGTGACAAAAGATTTAGGGGTAAAAAAATTTAAATGAGTAGTTGTCCGTTTGTGAAGAGTAAAAAATGAGTAATTATATTGTTCTCTTTAGACAAATGTTTATGGTCATTTTAATTTGATTGTTATGATATTCTAAATTTGATTGTTATTCCAAATTAAGAATAACAATAACAATCAAATTTAGAATAACAATAGCAATCAAATTTAGAATAACATAACAACCAAATTAAGAATAGCAATAACAATCAAATTAAGAATAACAATAACAATCAAATTAAGAATAACAATAACAATCAAATTAAGAATAACAACCAAATTAAGAGTAACAATAACAATCAAGATCAATTAAAGAATAACAATAACAACCAAATTTAGAATAACAATAGCAATCACATTTAGAATAATATAACAATCAAATTAAGAATAACAACAACAATCAAATTAAGAATAACAATAACAATCAAATTAAGAATAACAATAACAATCAAATTAAGAATAACTATAACAGCCAAATCAAGAATAACAATAACAATCAAGTTAAGAATAACAACCAAATTAAAAATAACAATAACAACAAGAATCAAATTAAGAATAACAATAACAATGACAATCAAATTAAGAATAACAATAACAATGACAATCAAATTAAGAATAACAATAACAATGACAATCAAATTAAGAATAACAATAACAATCAAATTAAGAATAACAACCAAATTAAGAATAACAATAACAACCAAATTAAGAATAACTTGTTATTGTTATTCTTAATTTGGTTGTTATTGTTATTCTTAATTTGATCTTGATTGTTATTGTTATTCTTAATTTGATCTTGATTGTTATTGTTATTCTTAATTTGGTTGTTATTGTTAATTTGATTGTTATTGTTAATTTGATTGTTATTGTTATTCTTAATTTGGTTGTTATTCTTAATTTGATTGTTATTGTTAATGTGATTGTTATTGTTATTCTTAATTTGGTTGTTATTCTTAATTTGATTGTTGTTGTTATTCTTAATTTGGTTGTTATTCTTAATTTGATTGTTGTTGTTATTCTTAATTTGATTGTTATTCTTAATTTGGTTGTTATTCTTAATTTGATTGTTATTGTTAATTTGGTTGTTATTCTTAATTTGATTGTTATTGTTAATTTGATTGTTATTGTTAATGTGATTGTTATTGTTATTCTTAATTTGGTTGTTATTCTTAATTTGATTGTTATTCTTAATTTGGTTGTTATTCTTAATTTGATTGTTATTGTTAATTTGATTGTTATTGTTATTCTTAATTTGGTTGTTATTCTTAATTTGATTGTTGTTGTTATTCTTATTTTGATTGTTATTCTTAATTTGATTGCTACTGTTATTCTTAATTTGATTGTTATTGTTATTCTTAATTTGGTTGTTATTCTTAATTTGGTTGTTATTCTTAATTTGATTGCTATTGTTATTCTTAATTTGATTGTTATTGTTATTCTTAATTTGGTTGTTATTCTTAATTTGATTGTTATTGTTATTATTAATTTGATTGTTATTGTTATTATTAATTTAATTGTTATTGTTATCCTTAATTTGTATGTTATTGTTATTCTTAATTTAATTGTTATTGTT